TTGGTAAGGACTGTGAGAAGGTAGGGGGGTAGGCAGGGATGAAGGAAAACAAGTCAACTGAAAGAACAAGGTTGGAAGAACAAGCATATGATCCTTTGGTTATTAAATGTGAACTCTGCTCCCCATTCCTTTTTTTTTTTTTTTTAATTGGCCATATTTTCAAACAACTTTAGTTCAGGAGGAAAAACCTGACAGTTTTTTAGCAGAGCTACTATCTGGAAGAGCCTCTACAAAGCCCAAGTCCTCTGAAAAAGCCACCTTCATCTTCAACAATGCAACATAACACAATAGGATTCCTCCAGATACTGTGAGTAAAGACTCATTCTGATTACAACGTAGGCATCATCTATAAATCACTTAGGCATAAAGCAAACAGCCTAAGTGGCCACATTGGACCTGCACAGATTTTGAAAAGAAACTGGTCTTCGTTAACATACTCATATAATCCAGTCTTAATTACCCATAAATGGATTATCCAATTTACAGGATTTCTGAGGCATAATCTTTAAACCAAGTTTGCCTGTTCTTCACCAACAGTATACCCTCCTCACCATCAGGTAATATAGGCTTAGAAATGCAAATTCATTTCAACATCAGTATGATCCTCAAAACATTAAAATAAATCTGGCTTAAAAAAATGATGCATTTTCAAACCAAGATATTTTAATACTAAATTCTGAATTACTTATACTACTATATCCTACAATACCAGAGATAACTGCAAGGTAAGTGCACTTAAAACATGATACTGTCCTTACCATTAAGTTCTTGAGGATAATCCAGCCATAGCCCACAGGCCCACAGTACAATGTGAGACAGACACAAACAGAGCTCAGCATAGTGAGTAAGGTGTGTGAATACAAAAACTTCTACAAGGAATCCTATGTCTCCTGGGTGATCCCTTCAGGCCAAGATGGTCCAGAGGAGAAACCAAAGAGTTACAGTGTACCGGTGCCTGCCTGACTCCTTGCCCCTGAGTCCCTGGACCAGAAGGCTCAAAACTTCTCATTAAATCCATCCTTTGTTCAAGGATCTACAATGACTCTATTGACCCTTCCATCAACACCCAACAGAGTCTGGCCTCTGAGTCCCCTCCACCCTCTTGCCCGTTCTACCCATGACTTGACCACCCACATTCTCTCCAGTCCCTCTCATTTATTCCCCCAACAAACACAACTTAGTCATTCATACCATCACTGCACACTGTACATTCTATACTTTCTGGCTGAAGATCTTATATTTTCTTTTACTCTTAACACAGAATAGCTATTTCATTTACTTGAATGCTCACACATATTTCACAGATAAGGATGGACAAGTAAATTGTCCAAATCACATAGTCAAGACTTAACCAAGTTCTACCTAACTCCATTGGCCATGCCCCTTTAGGACTCTAATCCACAGCCTCCAAGTCCGTTTCAAATTTTGCTGATTCAGAAGTCTTCCCTAATTAATTTCACAGACTCTGTTATTTCAAGTTTCCTAGCCTTTACATATTCCATCTGTAGCACACTAAACTTGGTTTTGTTTATATGTTGTGTCCTAATGTTAAACCTTATAACAGTGTGCCTTCCCATTTATATATACCACCTTCCACAACCCTACCCCTGTCCCAAGAGCAAGGACACTTGTTTTTATATCTTTTCTATCTTCCCAAAGCCTGTCACTAGAGCTTGGAGACAGCTCCATCCACAAGAGTGCTCAATCATTATTCAGCAAGGATTCCTTACTTAAAAAAAAAAAAAAACAGGGGCGCCTGGGTAGTTCAGTCGGTTGACCATCTGACTCTTGGTTTCAGCTCAGGTCATGATCTCAGGGTTGTGAGATCAAGCCCCGCGTCAGGCTCTGCACTCAGCGTGGAGTCAGCTTGAGATTCTCTCTCCCTCTCCCCCTGCCATTCCCACTCATGCTCGCACTCTCTCTCTCTCAAATAAATGAATCTTAAAAAAAAAAAAAAGACAAAAAAAAACTTTCTTCTATCATAATAAAAAAGTCAACTGAATTTAGGCATTCATAAAACTGCCCTGCATCTATATTCCAGTTATACAGATTTTAATTACCTGAATTTATCAGGGGCTGTTGAGAAGATTTCACAGCTCCTAAGTTTCCACACGGAAGACACTGCTGAAGCCACACTTCAAAGCACTGTCTCAGGATCTTCCCTTGATGGGATGAATGTCTGGGGTCAAAGAGGAGGTACTCCTTACAAGGAGCCTCACAAGGATCTGCCAGGATCCTTAGCACGCTTAAGCATCCTTGAGAAGCTCAAAAACTTTAACTGGCCCTTAGGGCCCCCATAACAATCTGAAATTTTATTTTTAATACTGCTACTCCATCATGATTCACTTGGTTACATATATTGAAACTCAAACCCCAAACAACGCCTTCTGAGAAATAGGAATAGTGGTAGACTATTAGGCTGCCGTAGGCTTATTCCTACTTATTCAACTGCTTCAATTCCCACCCCACCAGGCACCAAATAATAAATGTAGGGGAAGGTGATATAAATAGAAATAAATACATTTTCTGCCTGGAAGCTCTTTTCTTTTCTTATACTCCTAACAAAGAATAACTACTTCATTTGCTTGGATGCTCATACATATTTTATAAATAAGAATGGAGAAGTAAATTGTCCAAGGTCACATAGTAAATGCCATAATCAAGATTTGAACCAAGTTCTATTTAACTCCATAGCTCATGCCTCTTTATGACTCTAATCCACAGCCTCCAATTTTGCTGATTCCAAAATCTTCCCTAATTTATGTCATTGATATAAATAGAATTTCCCAGACATCACTAATATTGGCATCAACCGACACACAAATTAAAACAATTATTAATAGTCAACAGACCCTGGGGAGGCGTTTCTGATTTTTAAAAATTTGGTTTTACCCTCCAAATTAAATCTTTTTTCAACAGGGGTCCCCAGAAGTAGGACATTAAGGAAGTAAAGCTTCAGGAATATTTCCAAGTTGCTGGTGACCTAACTCCACCAAGTCCAACTAACAATTACCATTCATTACTGTTCAGCCTGCCTTATACAAGTCAGCAGACAGCCCTTTCCCTGGCAAAGGTTTACATTTTTTTTCCACAAAGGAGTCTCTGGCATTAAATGAAAGGGGTAAGTCAAGTCAGGCAACAACAAAAAATTAGTAATAGTTTGGAAATTATCTTCCTTCCATCTTTCCTTCCTGTTTGAATGCTTAATGCCCAAAGTGGATTTCTGTTCAATTCTAAATTATTCATGTTAATGGATAATCATCAGCAGAAAGGTGCTGATAATCCAAAATGGAAAAAAAATCGAAAAATGATCTATTTCCGTTTTTTGGAAGATCTTTTCAGCATTATTTACCTTCTCAATTATTCCTAGCATGAGCTAACATTTGTATGCATTTGCGATCACTAAGTACATAGTAACTGGCCACTTACTCTGGGAGGTGCTCTGCGGCATGCGGGGTAGCTAGTGGAAATTAGAACAAGACTGGTATTCACACTCCAGATGAGCAACATCAATTTCATTTATTTTACAGTTCTGTTCAGCCTTCAAAATATCAATAGACTAGCACAGCAGGTTGGCTCCTAAACTTTAAAAGAACTGTTCAGAAGAACAATGAGGACAAAGAGTATAATTGTTTGCCTAGAATGTATTCATTTGTAAATTATGCACAGCAAATGGTTAATTAGAAGTCTGAGTGTCCCTAGTCACCCAGCATAAGTTCCTGCTGTCTTCTCCACCCCAACAGGAATGCAGTCTCATTCACTAGGAAAGAAATTTTCTAAATGTTTTTCAAAAATCTGGGATTTGCTATCTTTTTGGACTCGCCTTACCACTACCTCTTCCTGTCCTTTTCTACTTTAGAAATAGGTTCTGAAAGACAAAGGGATCCAACCTCCTCAAGGACCTCCTAAATATACAGTAATGACAAGCCAAAGACTGAAAAATTACCAGCTTCTGGTTGTTCTCAAAAGCATTTTACACAGTTATAAAAATAGGAAAATAAAAGTCAAAGCCCTGCTAATTCTTGCTTTTGCATTTATGAAAAGGAACCCCCCTGAAAAGTGTGGGAGAGACTCTCTTACATAAAATTTCACCAGTCCACTTCTTTCAACTTAATTTCTAGATCTGTATTGTGCCCAGAGGAACCACCTAGGTTAGACAGACTACCTAGACGAGAGGGAGGGAGTCGGGGAGGGAGACGGAAAAAGACTCAGAGACTCAGGGAGACTCAGAGAGACTCAAGAGCTCTCTGGTCCTTGTGAGCCGACAAGCTAAAAATACGCCGGCCCAGTAAACAAATCCCATTCCCTCCCGACCGGAGCCACACCGTTAACCTAGTAATTATGAAAAGAGGAGTGAGATCACGCAGCCCCCGGCTTACTCATCATCAGCTTCTGAAGTTTCCATCGGCTCATGGCAACTTTTCTTTTTTCTAAAGTTCATAAGCCTGCCCTAGAATCAATCTCTCTCTCTCACACACACACACACACACACACACACTTTTTCGCTCCCTTCCTCCATTACTGGACGCACCTCAGTTTGGCTATCTATAGGGGAGAACAAGCTTGTTTTCTTTTCGTTGTACTTTTATACTGAGACTTTACAATGAACTTTATCCTACTATGGGGGTAGGACGGGCGGGGGGTAGCCTGCACTCTGAACCACCTTAAAACTCCACCGTCCCTCCCCGAAAGTCTCGCTGACAAGGGGGGGTACCGTCTAAACTGCCCAGCACAGCTTAGGAAGGGAGGCCGGGAACGGGGGTGGGAGCTAGGAACGCGGGACGCAGGTGAAAGGGAGGAGTAACGGGGAAAAGGTTGGGACGAAGCAAGGCACAGTCGGGGCGTGGAGGGGGTGCCGGGAGGCAGTGGCTCCGGGAGAAATATAATCAGAAAGGAGAAGGGGGACGGTGGAGATCGGAGGGTCAGAGTTTGGGAGTCTGAAGAGGCGGGAGGGACGGGAGCAGACGGGAGGAGGGTGACAGGGCAGGGGGCTCCGTTACCCTCGCGGCTCCCGGGGCAAGGCCCTAGGCCGGGGCGGAGCGCGGGGCCCGGCCGCCTCTCCTCATTCCTCGGCTGTGACCCCGGGGTCCGGCTGGCCCCTCCCCCGACGACGATGGAGGCGGAGGCGGTGGCGGAGACTGCGACCGCGGCTGTTGCTCCGCACAGGATCAGGAGCTGGAGCCAGACGGCACTGATCAGGACTGGCTTCCCCCAGTGGCTTTTTGCCTGCTCCACACCCCGTCGCCACTCCGACTCAGGCGGCTGGTTCAGGATCGGTGGCTTTCGGCCGTCCGGCCGGAAACTGGCGCTAGTTTCCGGCCGGAGCGGGTTGGTGGTGACACCTAAGCCGCCCCCAGGCCTCCTCCTGTCGGCCCCGCCCCGCCCCGCCCCGCCCCGCCCCGTAGCAGCCCCGCCTTTAGCGCCGCTCCCCTGGCTGCGGCCGGTTTGGCGCCTGCCCCGCGCGTGACCCCGTGTTTTCCTGGCCAGTGTTCTTAAGGCCTCTGAGCTGGAGAGTTCTTGAACCGGAGCTGGAGGGGTACAGAGGGGGCTCTTGAGACTTTGAGGTAGAGTCAGTTGGCTATAGCCCTTTGGGAAGAAGCAGAAAAAGGCGGGTAGTTCTGGAAAAGTGAGAGGGGTGAAAATACTTTGGAATGAGAAGACTGAAATTCTAGTTACTCTCCGCGGTCATTCTAGACTGACCAGAGGAAAATTAACAATGCTTCTCCCAGACCGAGTCTCCACCCAGTTTTGCAGTCTTCTTCCGTCACTCGTGAAGTGAACATATCCTTCTCGGTTAACACTCAATATTTACTTACTTGCATAATGATGACATGTCTGCCTTAGCCCAAAAGAAAAAAGTTAAGTATCACTGTTTTTATTAATGCCTTTTAACAGCATTACAGCATAATTCAATTCAAATATTTATTGAGTCCCTACTATGTGCAAGGTGCTGTGCTCATTGATATTGGTGACACAGAAGTGAATAAGACATAATTCCAGTCATCATGGGTCTTGCACTTTAGTAAAATACATGAAACTATATGACATAAAACAGAACTCATGTGTGTTATGTGAGTAACAATGGGCTATGGCTATGAGAACATAAACTTCAGCATATGGCAGACCTTCCATATTTATTGAATGAACAAATAAAAATTAGAATGTGGACTAGTTCTAGTAAGAAGAGCCGTTTAATCACACACAAAATGGGGCCAGCCCCTATTATAACCTGACCAAAGAAATCCTAAATTTTATTTTTTTTAAAGATTTTATTTATTTATTTTGACAGAGAGAACACAAGCAGGAGGAGAGGGAGAGGGAGAAGCAGCCTTCCTGCTGAGCAGAGAGCCCGCCATGGGGCTTTATCCCAGGACCCTGGGATCATGACCTGAGCCGAAGGCAGACACAATGACTGAGCCACCCAGGTGCCCAAAGAAAACCTAAATTTTAATTCAGATTCCTAACATTGTGGCACCTGATCTGCATATTAAAAATGTTTATTGTCTAAACTGTGCCCATTAGGCCTCCTTAAGAACAAATACTGTACCACAGTCAACTTTTCCCCTCAGTACTTCCTGAGGTCCTCAGTTTCTAAATGGGAAGGGTGGAGCGTAGACATTTTGGAATTATCCAGGACTAGAAAATGGACATCTGAAACAGGAAACTGCCTAGACAGGCAGCTATATCTCCTGGGGACACCCAAGATTGAGAGTTGATTTAGGGCTGAGCCTAAGGCCATACCAAGGCCAAGCAGGTCAGAGTGCCTTGCAGGAGGCACACCCAGGACCAACAGTACAAGTTGGCAAGCAGAGCCATTTGGCCTGGGCTTCAAGCATCAGGGGACTGCAAATTTTGGCTATGTTCAGTGGCAGATTTGAGGAAGAGGGTAAAATGAGACTTGGTCATCTAAGTTGATTCTAACTGAACTCCATTGATCACAACCACCCCTTGCTAGCTAAATCTGAGGTAGGAGAACAGATCCACAGATGAGGAGACTCAAAAATCTAAAGTTATCTTGTTTCACCAAAGCCCTCCCAGGACGAGGTTTTGCTAATCTGTTGACTATGTCTTTCCAGTCTTAACTCCACTACCAACACCTTATTAGAACCAGGTACTGAGTTCAAAGGCACTCTCCACCCTCATTACAAGGCGGACTTTTACTTTTGGCAATGACCACAAAAAGTTTCCAAATTTGAAAGCTGGGCCAAACTCAATTAAGTAACCACAAATTTACAGGCTTGCCTGGAAATTTAGGGGCCAGGAAGGGATGGGGTTGCAGTTGCTTTGTGCCTGTTTCTTGCTCTGACCATCCATCACTCATTGTTGTTTGTGCAATTGCTCAATGAGCTGCTTGTTTTGGGTCAGCCCAGGCTATGTGGGTAGCAGTGTGGTCAGCCAGGCTGGGAGCCAAGCCACCTGGATTCTGGTCCCAGCTCAGCCAGCCCCTAAGCCATTAAGTGACTCCCTTCCTATTCCTATGTGTCAGTTTCTCTGCCTAGAAACTGGGGACCTCTTCTGTAGTGATCTGCAACCATTTGGGCTGTCACTATGCTGAATGTTCAGAAGCAACTGTCTGATGTTGTCAGCTGTCAGAACACAGCTGACTATTTTTTGCTGCCAGGTAAAAGAATAGTAAAAAAAAAAAAGAGAAAGAAAGAAAGAAAGAAGAAAGAAAGAAGAAAGAAAGAAAGAAGAAAGAAAGAGAAAGAAAGAAGAAAGAAAGAAAGAAGAAAGAAAGAAAGAAAGAGAAAGAAAGAAAGAAAGAAGAAAGAAAGAAAGAAGAAAGAAAGAAAGAAAGAAAGAAAGAAAAAGAAAGAATGAAGAAAAAGAGCAGCACAGAAAATTCTACCAGTGTACCAGCAACATACCCTCATCTGTCATTCAGTACTAAGTTCTCTTCTGGCCTAAGGCCTGTTTTTGTTTACTTATTTTAGCAATCCAAAGGGATGCTCCGAGGAGTTCCCTGAGCTTTCATTTCACTTTAAGCAAGAGCAGAAAAAAAAAAACGGAACTTTGCATTTCACTAGAAAAACTAAAAGGAGCGACTATTTCAACACTGGCTAATGGATAGAGTGGGGGGAAATGTTCAGAGAAAGCTATTTTGCAGCTAACCAGGAAAAAAGAAAAAAAAAAACAGCAATTGTTTGCATTTATATGCTTTTGTGGTGGAACAGAAAACCAAACCAAAATAACTTCCTTTTCACTACCACCACTGTAATTCAAACCATGGATTCTGTGGAGTTTCAAAACAGCATACTATATGTGCCTAGGAACCTCAGACTGACTGAGAATTTGGGGGACTGAAAACCAAGAATCTAAATTTTTTTAAAAAGATTTTATTTATTTATTTGACAGAGACACAGAGAGAGAGCACAGACAGGCAGAGCGGCAGGCAGAGGGAGAGGGAGAAGCAGGCTCCACAATGAGCAGGGAGCGCAACACCGGGCTCGATCCCAGAACCCTGAGATCATGACCTGAGCTGAAGGCAGCCGCTTAACTGATTGAGCTACCCAGGTGCCCCTAAACATTTTTTAAATATACAGGGTGTGGGGCACCTGGGGTGGAGGTGGCTCAACTGATTGAGCATCGGCTTGGAATTTTGGCTCAGGTCATGATCTCGGGGTTGTGGGATCGAGCCCCACATCCGGCTCCGTTCAGTGGAGAGTCTGCTTGAGATTTTCTTCCTCTTCCTCTGTTTCTGCCCCTCTCCCTGCTGATGCTTTCGCTGTCTCTCTCAAATAAACAAATAAATCTTTAATAATAAATAAATATCCACAGTTCTTTTTCTTTTTTAGGTATAAAATTGTCATACAACATTCTATCAGCTTCAGTTGTATAGCATAATGATTCAATATTTGTGTATGTTGTGAAATGATCACCACAATAAGTCTAGTAGACATCAATTACCATAGTTACAATTTTTTTCTTGTGATGAGAACTTTTAAGACTTACTCTCTTAGCAACTTTCAAATATGCAATGCAGTGTTATTAACTGTAGTTGCTATGCTTTGCATTATATCCCCAGGACTTGCTTATTTTATAACTGCAAGTTTGTATCTTTTGACCCCTTCACCCGTTGTGTCCCCCCACACACTCCTTTCCTCTGGCAACCAGCAATCTGTTCTCTGTGTCTATGAGTTCAGCTTTTTTGTTTCTTTGTTTTGTTTTGTTTGTTTGGGTTTGTTTTGTTTTGTTTTGTTTTTAGATTTCACATATAAGTGAAATCATACAGTATTTGTCTTTGACTTATTTCACTTAGCATAATGCCCTCAAATTCCATCTATGTTGTCACAAATGGCAAGATTGCATGTTTTGATGGCTGAGTAATGTTCCAATATATATGTTATATATATAAAACATGTTTGTGTGTGTACACATACACACACACACATATATATGTACACTGCAATTTATTTATCCATTCATCTATCAATGGACACAGGTTGTTACCATGTCTTGGCTATGGTAAATAATGAGGCAGTTAACATGGGGTGCATATATCTTTTTGAATTAGGGTTTTCATATTCTTCAGGTAAATACCCAAAACTAGAATTGCTGGATCATCATATATAGAAATAGATAAATATTTATAATTCTTTAAAGAACCTCTATCCTGTTTTCCATACTGGCTCCACTAATTCAAATTCCCACCAACAGTGCACAAGGGTTCCCTTTTCTCCACATTCTCGCCAGCACTTGTTATTTCTTCTTTTTGCTGATAACCATTCTAACATGTGTGAGGGGATAGCTCACTATGGTTTGGATTTGCATTTCCCTCATGATTACTGACGGTGAGCAATTATTCATGTGTCTGTTGGCCATCTGCATGTCTTCTTTGGAAAAAATGTCTGTTCAAATCCTCTGCCCATTTATCAATCAGATTGGTTTTTTGCTATTGAATTGTAAAAGTTCTTTATGTATTTTGGACATTAACCCCTTATTGGATAGATGATTTTGATTTCCTTTGCTTTGCAGAAGGTTTTAGTTTGATGTAGTCCCACTTGTTTATTTTTGCTTTTAATGCCTTTACTTTTGGAGTCAGAGCCAAAAAATCATTAAGACTGATGTCAAGGAGCTTATCACCTATGTTTTCTTGTAGGAGTTTTATGGTTTCAGGCCTTAAATTCAAGTCCTCAATCCATTTTGAGTTTATTTTTGTGTATGGTGTAAGATATTTTGTGTATTGTGGTCTAGTTTCATCCTTTTTCATGTGGCTGTCCAGCTTTCCCAACATTTA